GCTTACCGGCATCTTCACATGCTGCTTATCATGGCGGCAGCTGGCAGTGTCTCCTTCCGCCTTCCTGTTCTTTCTTTTCTCCTGTTAGTCCTGCCTATACTTCCTGCCTAGCCACTGGCCAATCAGTGTTTTATTTATTGGCCAATCAGAGCAATGTGACAAACAGACCATCCCACAGCAATAATGTAGTTTTTAAGAAGACATTTTATACTTCGATGCAGAATAAGATAGTATCTCATATAGTACTTTCACATAAAAATAAATTCTAAATGTTCTCTTTTAATTATAAAAAGATTAGATATATGATTTAGTTTTGTAAGGCTACTCTTGCCTAGTGAGAGGATCTGAAATTCGTTTTGACACTTGTTCTGGGTGAGTATTGTTTTAGTGTAAGAGATAGAGCATCATTAATTCTACCATGTAGAAGTTGAAGAGACTGCCTTACAAAGGTTTAAGTAACATTTCTCAGACTCTCTAGTCTATTTAATCATAAATGTGAGGAGTTATTTTTCTTTAGCCAATGGGTAAAGGTGTCTATTCATTAACACCTAAGCATAAAGTCACAAACTGAACTTGCTACAATAGTAATGCACTGGGTTGAACCATATAAATTTAGCACAATGATTTACAAGATCTCAGTCAGCTCTCTGGCATGCACATTTATGTGATCTAATTACCTGAAAAGTGTTGAGTTACAGGCAATAAAGGCAATAGACTTTACTCTGTGGCTCCATTTTTAATAGAACCCCAAGAAAAATGTTGCAGATGTGAACTGGCAGAAAACAGGAAAACCTTTGGTTTTTACCATCATAAAAGTAAAATATGATCGTGTTGACCTATATAGTTTTTCATTTCAATCAAAATATCAGGTAATTAATGCAAAGAAAGATTTGGCTGATTTGCCTAAAATGACTAGTTGAGAATGCCACAGCAGGATGGCAGTGTTGATCAAAATCCCTTCCAGGAAACAGAGAAACCAGGAGCCCAACCCTAGAGCCAAGGATGGTAATAGGGGATGTCTATGAGCTCCAGCAAACAAATGGTGTGGGCTGTTGTGGGATATTACTTTAACTCTGTAAAAATGTGTTGCATTTGTTTCATCTTGCCTGCCTAAGGCACCTGATTGGTCTAATAAAAAACTGAAC